AAAGTGCGTACGTGCGTGCATGGGTCCGCGTGCGTATAATATATACATATATATACTATATATATATATAGTATAAATATTATCTAGAAAACGTCAACATGTATACATGTCTATAAATAAAGGAAACACATTTTAAGCCATGTACCACTTACATAGACGTGTATACACATCTCGACAGCAATTTTGTGGGAGCGTTTAACAGCTTGCTCCAAGCCACTAGCATTGTACATACCACATGCAGCTTTGTTAGTACAGTCTAACCCAGTATTAGCAGTGGACATATCTATAACATAGATACCTGTCTATAAAGTACACTTCGCCCCAGAGGCAGTAAATGGACACCCGACTATAACGGACACTTCAGGTTTCACTGAGTGACCGTTGTATACAGATTTGACTGTAATCGTGGTAATTGCATTACACCTTACTTACCTGACTTACACACAATAGTGAATACGATCTCTACCGCACATACTACCGATATTACGACAGGAACTATAATATACGTTAAGGCAGTAATTTGCCGAGAAATAAACAATGCAGTAACCAATACAATATTTATATTCAGGAGCGTATAATGACAAATATTTGTCATTATACGCTCCTGTTATATTGTATATAAGTTATTGTAGGAAACAAAAAAATTCTCACATATCAATAGTTCTTATCAACTAATATAGTAGTGTATTGGTAAACCCATAAAAAATGACAAACTACAATAGTTACAAATTCGGCAGAGGATAAGAGGTGAAAACCACCCACTATGATGTTCGTTGCCTGTAGCAGAGATCATACACATCACACATCACGGCACCCTCTTAGCTTGGAGATTGTGCCTACCGTGTAAAAGTTAGTTGCGTAATACGAGCGTGCCTTGGTGGCACGGTAAGACTAATCTACGAGACTCATTCCTCGTGTGCATCAAGCAGCACACACGTCATTATGTTACGGTCACCCTCACCCAAGTAAAAACACTCCTTCACCCCCACAAGTAGACCACTCTATTACGATGTTGGGATGACCATTATTATAAGTAGTTAGAGGCTTATTACGAAATCACGTATTTTGATAACGTGTACAAGCAAAAGGTTATAATCGCAAAAATACTTTCTTTTGGTCCTAGTTTAACAGTATCACTGCTTTCACCAACAATCCATGCAGCATGGATATACAATGTGCAGCAAGGGTGAGGCATAGACGCGGTAGCCGAGGGCCGGGGCGGCGCGCGTGGGGGGTTACAGCGCGGGCACGTGTAGCGGGGGTGAGGAGTAGACGGGGTAGCCGAGGGGTGGGGCGCGTGGGGGGTTACAGCGCAGGCACGTGTAGCGGGGGTGAGGAGTAGACGGGGTAGCCGAGGGGCGGGGCAGCGCTCTGCACGGTGAGGTTGCGCAGCAGCAGCGGCAGCGCCTGGATGCTGTAGCGCTCCTCGTCGTCGTTCGTGAAGTAGAGCAGCTCGAGGGACAGCGACGCCCACAGACCTCGCACCGCCTCGCTGTTCAGCTGCCCAACCTTGACCGCTGTCGGCTGCCGGGTGAGCACGCGGCCCGTGTACACGTTCTGAAATACGGACGAGAGAGACGTGACCGCGTACAGCTTCTGTAATATGGACGAGAGAGATGCGTGACCGCGTACAGCTCCTGTAATATGGACGAGAGAGATGCGTGACCGCGTACAGCTCCTGTAATATGGACGAGGGACACGTGTGACCGCGTACAGCTTCTGTAATACGGACGAGAGAGACGCGTGACCGTGTACAGCTTCTGTAATACGCACGAGACAGACGCGTGACCGCGTACAGCTCCTGTAATACGGACGAGAGAGACGTGTGACCGCGTACAGCTCCTGTACAACTACGCGAGACTAGGGACTACAAAGGCTTACCTCCAGGTTGTTATATCCCAGTGAAAACAAGTGTTTTTTGCCGGCAGATATCGCGTCTGCCCACTCTGCAGACGTCTCCTGTCCTATGTAGGTATCACAATCAAACTCATGTAGGTAGTGTTCCAGCTCGGCCATGTCATCCAGCGGGCCGAGAGATCCTTGGATGTACATCAGCTTCACTGCATACCTGTCAAGTCATATGAAGTTTAGTTTAGTTCAACTGTTCAAGAGTTCATCACTAACTTCATAGCTCAGTGCCATCGAGTGATAAGCTGAACCCATGTGCGGTAGTGCATCCAGTAGCAGCGGTCTAGAGCTTCCCTTTACACACGGTGTTGTTAAGTACACTGCATTCCTTATATCTATCATCAACTAAAACTGATAAATGGACCAACGCAGATGACCTTTATGAGGAATTCCACATATTGCAAGGTCAAAGGTTGCAGGTCGTTAACAATGGAGTGTAAAGGACCACAATGTAAATAACATACTTGTCGTACCTTTCGTGTATTTATCCTCAGTAGTAATCAAACTGCATAACTTATTTATGTACGTATTATTTGTAACGTATGCTTTTATATAATATTTTATTATTATATATATATTACTTTTTTTAAACCAAGTCAAAAGCCAAGGGGCTAAAAGTTAAGGGGCTTCCCCGGGGTGTCTTATAATATGAGCCGTCAAGGCGGTTCTTTATGTTTGCGTCAATGACCCACACTGTGCTGCAGTGCTAACACTCGGCCCGACTCACCGGTAGGCCTTTATGATGAGCGCAAACAGCACCTCATCCTGCCGCACCCAGTCGAGCGCCGGCGACCAGGGAACGTCACCGCGAAAGCACTTGTGCACGTGACTCGCGCCGAGCTCAGCTAGACTGGCGCCAGCAGTGCCGAGCCGGTTCACGACGGCGTAGCAGGAGAGTGCGACGTGACTGTAGATCTCGCGCGCGTCCGCGTCACGCTGCAGCGCGGCGACAGTCTCCGTCGACGCGCCAGACGTGTGCAGGCTGTCGACGACGTGCTCGTACCAGCCCGCGGTCGGCGCGACCCCCGCGCAGTCGCCCGCCCGCACCGGCATCTGCCGCCACCTGGCGGGCATCGCCGGCGGCAGCTTTGACGCCGAGAAGAGCGTCATCTCGAGCGCGTCGAGGTGGTGTTTCGCGTCGGTTTTCGGCGTCTCTGCGTCGCGGGCCGGCAGACCGAAGCCGCCGACGCCATCCGTCCACCGCGGCGGTGTGGCGTGGGGATGCGCGAACGCCGGCTCGGCATCCGTCACTCGACCGCCCGCCGGCGCTCCCGACGGTGGCGCCACCTGCATCGCGCTGCCGAACGGCGCAGAGTTTAAGACGTCGTGACGAGAGTGGCGGACGTCGACGTCGTCGCTGCCGAGCCCGCGTAGCTCCCGCAGGAGCGCCACCGTCGTGTCGGCGGAGTCGGGGGCGCCACCGTAGTTTGTCGCCACGGCCGCATGCGGTTTGGTCGCCGCTTCATCGTGGAATGTGTCGTCGTCCGACCAGACACTGTTCGGAAAGCTCCTGGAAGACTGTGACCGCTCTACACAGATGGCGCTGGCTGCGCGCGGCGAACTGGGTGGACGAGGATGCTTCGGCGAGTCATCGGGATCTGTAGTCGCATCCGTCTTCGCATTTTTAACATCAGCGCCATCTGTATTGCAGTTGAAAAACAAAGTTGTTTTGCACATTCTCATTCTGAGAAAAATAGGTTTCCCATCTTGCAGTCACTACTTCCAGAGCATAGAATGAGCTTGCACACAAAAGTAGCTGATGATGTATTGATAAAAAAAAACTAAAATGAAAAATGTTTAATGAAATAGAATAATGTGTCATCACGTAAGTGCACTATTAGCTCCTGCTTACCAATATCTGGTATATCCTTGTACTGCCCTATGGTGATGTGGTGAAGAAGCACCCATAACAGAGACTGTACAAAGCACTGCCCAACTAACCTGTAAAAATGAAGAATTACATATCACACCACCGGCTCATCGTGCAAGAGTGTAGTAGGCTTCTGCTTAGTTTATTAGCCAGCACAGGCTCAACTGTAGTAGCTAGGATAAGCAAGTGAAAGGTTTGACTACGGCGACTACACGAG